GGTAGGTGAAGAATAATTATGTAATATTGAGCAATTTCCAAAAGAATTAATTCCAACATCAACATCATAGTTATTATTCTGCATCATGCCTAAAAGACATAATGTAAAAGTACTCATAGGCTGTACTCTGAAAGGAAGCCCAGGTTGGCATGTATCATTATTGTCTATGGGAGAATTAATAGGAACTGCCACGGGCATTATCACCCCTGCTGTCATGCAAAGCCAGCAATCACTAGCAAGGATGGGATTGGAATCATTAAGCAAGGAAAAGGTAGTTTCCAAAATACCCAATGTATTAATATCTAAATCTGGAAGTTAGGATTTAGGCAGCACTAAGGGATGATATGTAAGCTCAGGGAGTTGGGGTTTTAAAAGCTTAAGTATCTGAATATGTTTAACAGCATCCGTGGGCCCTCCACCATCAGAGACCCCCGTAGGGGCGTTAAGAGGCCAACGGGAGGGTTTGCCAACAGTGCCTTGGCATCCAGCTAACCGCAGCGTGGTGTGGTAACTTGTATGTCCAAGAAAGCCATTGATGGTATCTGCGGCAACTCCAACTCCTTCAGCAGATCTGGTTTGTGTTGGGGAGGCTTGAAAATATTGTACTCCCTGTTTATTAAACACAAATTGAGGCTGACGCATAGCAAGAGACATGCACCGTCATGGTATATGTACAAGTTGCAGAACAATTTTGGAGAGTTTTACTTGTACTGGAGGAAATAATCTTGTTAACACACACCCATTTAGGCTGGTGAAACCCACCGAGTTTAGCTTCAGCCTCAGCACGGAGGTAAGCCACCTTAGTCCTGCAGTCAACAGTCTGGGTAAAACTGGTGGGAGCCTGAGACCGAGATCCTCCCTTGCATTCGCAGGGGGAGCCAAAAAGGTGCTCCATGATGTTGGAAGGTGGAGGGCCAAGGCCCCCGTGTACAAACCTGTTCAACAGAAGTACTTCAAGTAGGAGGATTTTCATACAAATTGTTGGCTGCATCTGAAAAAGAGGAAAATTTGTCCTCAGGGGGAGGGCCTCCGTCCCTGGGTTGAGGTAAGTCATTGACCTGTTTAACCAGGCGTTCTGGTAACCATCTTGGGGCTGCTTACTCTTGATCCAAAACACAAGGTGAGCCTTGTCCCCAGATGAGGACAGGATCTGGGCCTTTCCATTTATTTGTAAGGGGATCGCGCCACATAACAGGTAGGTGAACAGAATTAGAAGAGGGATGCCAGTGTCTGTCTGCGGCCGAATGGCCTTCACTGTCTAGGGTAAGAAAATGAAGGGCAAATAATGCATGGTTAAGGCGATCCCTGGGAGTGGTAAATACAAGGGCGGAAGCCTTAAGGCGGGTTAGCCAAGTCTTTAAGGTAAGGTGGGCACGTTCCACAATGCCTTGGCCCTTAGGGTTGTATGGAATTCCAGTAGTATGACAAATTTGCAAGGTAGCACAAAACTGCTTAAACTTGGCACTGGTATATGCAGGGCCATTATCTGTTTTAATATGTGTCGGTTTACCCATTACCGGAAAGGCTGAAACAAGATGAGAAAGGACATCTTGGTAGCCTCTCCGGAATGTGGTGATGTAAAAATAAAGCCACTGAAGGTATCTATAGAAACATGTGTATATTTGGTCTTTCCAAATTCAGGAAAATGAGTAACATCCATTTGCCAAATGTGATTGGGCAGTAATCCTCGGGGGTTAACTCCCAAGTGTTGAATGGGGAGGGAGATAGCACAAGTAGGGCATGCTTTTACTGTTTCTCGCGCCTGTTGCCTGGTAATTTTACAAAGTAATTGAAGGCTCTGGGAATTTAGATGGTGAAGATTATGTAACTCCGTGGCCTTTTGAATGGAGCCAACAAAAATTGGAAAGATGGAACGAGTTGCCGCATCAGCTTGGGCATTACCTTGTGTTAGAGGGCCGGGAAGATCAGAGTGTGCCCTGATGTGTCCTAAGAAAAATGGGTGTTGTCTGGCCTGAATGAGCTGCTGAAGCTGGTGAAACAGAACTTCCTTCTAGCCCCTGACAAAAAAATAGATAAATAAACAGATAAGTAAAACAAAAATTAAAAAGCAATTCTTACAAGAGTTTCCACATTTCTATCCTTAAGCAATCTGGACCTATCTTTTTTTTTTCTTTTTTGGTACTGGGGATTGAAAGGATCTATATTTTTAAGATGAACTTAAACTGAATTCCCAAGAAGGGTCCTATTAGGATAAACAGCCCACAGAAGCTCCTTTTTGCATTCATATCTTACCAACGAGGGTTGTTTTGCCATTAGCCAATCAGACCTAAGCCCTTCACACCTATTTACAACCCTTATTTGCATAGAGGACCGGAGTGGGAACTTGAGCGGGAACTGTTTGTCCTTCCCTTTGTTCTTCCAAAGGGCTCGGCTAAGGAACCCCACACGAATGTGAAGACCTTGAAACCTATTTCTCTAAATACGCAATCTCAGGGAATTGAAGTAGTTGTGGACAAGATCCATTATCAGGTTAGGAAGAACCGGGAGAGTCCTTGGAGCCACAGAAGTCTCTGGACCTGCCCATTATTATGCATACACTCACTATTCCCCACACTAACTGCTTTGCATTTTGCTCTTAATTGATCAGGTATAAGACAGAAATAAAGTTTAAGGTCAGTATCATGTATTGTTCCAACAATTTACTGTCATAATTCTTGAGTTGCAGTTCTCTCATGAAACTGTGGGTGGCTCTGAAAAGAGCCTTTGGGTTTAATAAACGCATTCGCAGCACTGTTTACTTGGAGCTGGTGTACTTGGTGACCGCCTTGGTGCCCTCCGACACGGCGTGCTTGGCCAGCTCCCCGGGCAGCAGCAGGCGCACAGCCGTCTGGATCTCCCGGGACGTGATGGTCGAGCGCTTGTTGTAGTGCGCCAGGCGCGAGGCCTCGCCCGCGATGCGCTCGAAGATGTCGTTCACGAACGAGTTCATGATGCCCATGGCCTTGGACGAGATGCCGGTGTCGGGGTGCACCTGCTTGAGCACCTTGTACACGTAGACCGAGTAGCTCTCCTTGCGGCTGCGCTTGCGCTTCTTGCCGTCCTTCTTCTGCGCCTTGGTCACCGCCTTCTTGGAGCCCTTCTTCGGGGCGGGAGCGGACTTGGCTGGCTCAGGCATTCTCGAACACAACCACCAGGATCCAAGATAGAGAAACTGTGAGCACAAGCTCAAAACACCCTTAATATTTGCTTGCTTGTATGCAAATTAAGGATTGCAGAATAACTCCTTCTCATTGGCTGTTTTAGTATCTTAACCTCTCATAGGCTATTTTTGAAATCTAGCTCTTATTGGTTCTTTCCCTAACTCCACCTTACTTTGAACTTTCAACTACAAACATTTCATGTAAATTAGAGGTGTTTTTTTAAATTTTAATCATCTGCCTTTTAATTGGCTGAGACTTGTCTTCAGCTCATGGCATAGGCTACTTTGCAAAACGGCAGGAGAGTATAAAAGGCTAGCTGCTTGCGCACTTGTAAACAGTTTTCCTGATTACTGTCACTTTGGTTCCCATTCTAATATGTCCGGACGCGGCAAACAAGGCGGCAAGGCGCGTGCCAAGGCCAAGACGCGCTCTTCCCGCGCTGGCCTGCAGTTCCCGGTAGGGCGAGTCCACCGCCTTCTGCGCAAGGGCAACTATGCCGAGCGGGTCGGGGCCGGCGCGCCCGTCTACTTGGCGGCGGTGCTCGAGTACCTGACGGCCGAGATCCTGGAGCTGGCGGGCAACGCGGCCCGCGACAACAAGAAGACGCGCATCATCCCGCGCCACCTGCAGCTGGCCATCCGCAACGACGAGGAGCTCAACAAGCTGTTAGGCCGCGTGACCATCGCGCAGGGCGGTGTCCTGCCCAACATCCAGGCAGTGCTGCTGCCCAAGAAGACCGAGAGCCACCATAAGGCTAAAGCCAAGTGAAGCAACCAAAGTCTGTGTGTAGCTACCTAAGACCCAAAGGCTCTTTTCAGAGCCATCCACATTTGCATTTAAAGAGCTTTGTAACCGGCTTTACCTAGTTTTCGTAGCACAGTAGGTAAACTTTATGTACCTGACCAGAACCCTTAGGTCACTCGCTATACCCGTGGCTGAAGTAAAATGAGACGCCTGGAAGCTGTGAGGAAGGAAAATGAGAAAAGCTTTTAATTGCTTTCAAGTAAAGACTGGTAGGGGCATACAAATTACGCCCAAATTTTCCGAAATCGAGGGTTGGATTAGATCACAGCTTCCGTTGTCCTTTATTCTTAGAATATTTCTCTAGCAAAGGAAACCGAAAATAAACGAATGATTTTTGAGTTTGTGGAAAAGGTACCCGAGGAATATGCTACCTGGACTGCTAAAAACAGCGCAATGTAAGATTCTTGAAAAGTAAGCCTGAGCTTTCACCTTAACCTAGAGTATCCGGCAAAACTCCATTCCATTTGGGCTAGCTTTCGCATGTCAGTTAACACTTGCCCAGTGACGCTGGGGCCAGGCATTTGCCGGTAATGTCCCAGGTACTGCATCCAGAAATCCTATGTATATAAAGGTCAAAGCTTCCACAAGTTGAATCTAGGCGCGGGCAGTCGAGGTGCCTAGAGGGATCCACCCCCCCACCCCCCCCCCCCCCCCCCCCCCCCACCCCCCCACCCCCCCCCCCCCTCCACCCCCCCCCCACCAAATACATCCGTTCTTAAAGCGTTAGGAATCTAGTCCCACCACACACCAAACAAATGAGAAGTAGCATATTCCAAGACCTTCTAAGTGGTTCCTTAGTTCCACTCTAGACATCTAGGACATTAACTCCCTGGGTCACAGACAAAAGATGAGGAATTGGCATGAGAAGTAATTCATCCAATCAGAGCCTTCAGCAATTTACCAATCACCTTGTTGATTCCGTAGCCAATGGCTTTATTGCGCGCGAGTTTTGAAAACCAAGGAGACCAATCAGAATGTTTCTGAGTGTATATAACCATAATCTCTTCTGGCACAACTTCTAAGCCTTTGGTCTTTTCTCTTCTTCTGCCATGGCTCGCACAAAGCAAACCGCGCGCAAATCCACCGGCGGCAAGGCCCCGCGCAAGCAGCTGGCCACCAAGGCCGCCCGCAAGAGCGCTCCAGCCACCGGCGGCGTCAAGAAGCCTCACCGCTACCGGCCCGGCACCGTGGCGCTGCGCGAGATCCGCCGCTACCAGAAGTCCACCGAGCTGCTGATCCGCAAGCTGCCGTTCCAGCGCCTGGTGCGCGAGATCGCGCAGGACTTCAAGACCGACCTGCGCTTCCAGAGCTCGGCCGTCATGGCGCTGCAAGAGGCCTGCGAGGCCTACCTGGTGGGTCTGTTTGAGGACACCAACCTGTGTGCCATCCACGCCAAGCGCGTCACCATCATGCCCAAGGACATCCAGCTGGCCCGCCGTATCCGCGGGGAGAGGGCGTAAAGCTCCCTTCCCTTGCCTTTCCTTTACCTAGCAAACGCAAAGGCTCTTCTAAGAGCCACCCACTTTGCTGAAACAGCTGTAATTACTTTGGTTAGTTGATGTTGGAAGGTATGAATACTATTCTTTTAGAATGTCGTATCACCCTTTGCTTAGTGTGTACCCAATTTCATAAGTGCGGATTATGTTAACTCCGAAGTTTGGGAGTGACAAGCCTGTTAGATAACTGGCTTGGTGAGTTGCAGTCCTGGGAACAAACGGATGCAGAACATCATTTTAGTTAAACATCCTTTTAGGTGGAAATTTTGTACCTATTTTCTAATGTCTTATTAAGACCAAGGAAAAGGAAATTGTCTCCTGAGAGTTTGGCATTTTCGGGACCAAAAAATGACAGGTAAAGGCTGGTTAGTAGAGCTTGTTCATTTTTTGTGTGCATCTCCATGCATCTAGGTGAGAGTTGTCTTTAAGTGGTTAGGCTAATGAGGGGTGGTAGGGAACTTCCTTACTTGGGAAACTTGTGCCCTTTTATGCAAATGGAGAGGGAAAAAAGTCCTCTCCTTTGTATTTAATTTTGTACTGGGAATTATGTGTTCAATCACTGAGCTGCATCCCCAGACCCTCTTTGTTTTTACTTTGAAACAGGGTCTCTAAGTTACTGAGGGCCTGTTTAAGTTGCTGAGGCTGGCCTTTAACTTGAGATCCTCATGCTTCAGCCTTTGGAGTTGCTGGGATTACAGGTGTGGGTCACTGCATCGGACTAGTATCTGCTTCTTCATTCCTTTAACAATCATTTGGGAATGGCATATTCTGTTTTTTACAGAGGCCATTGGAAGGGATCTAACTTTTGCTGTAGGTGAGATGCACAGCACTGAGAGGAGTAGAGCTCAAGAGTCTCTCTATTTCTCTTATTTAAGCAGCTTCTTTATTTTTAGTCTGAATTGTGCTCCACTGTGAAAAGTAGGACTTGGTTTCTTTTTCTTTTTTTGGATCTGTTAGATGAAGGCTGATCTGGAGCTTTTTTTCAGTAGGAGACAGAATGTGCCATTCTAAAAATGTTCCTTTGGCACAAGGATTGTGGATCTGAAGGTAATTAAGCAGGAGAAGATGAAGAATAATTCTGCTTGGTCCTTTTTCTCTTGGCTGGCACTTCTCTAAAAATTTACTATTCTTTTTTGAAGGTGCTCTGTAAGCCTGAATTCAAAGCCACTTCTTTAAAAAACTACTCTGTCTCTGGGTGTCCTCGATGTGAAGCCAGAATTAGGCAGTTAGTATAGATAGGTAAATGGAGTCAGGCCAATTTTGAGTGAGTCCCAGCAAGTTGGAGGGATTGAGACTTAACTCCTCCAGACCCCTTCCTCCACCCTTATCCAGAACCTGTCCCTGCTCCAATCTATTGCCAAGGTCACCTGTCCCAGGAGTTGCCCCTCCCTACAGGGAGCTAATTGTTAATTAATGTTTCCTGGGCTGCTTCACCCTGCCCTTCCCCTTTCAGCCCACCTGTTCCCACCTTTGGACCATTCCACCGAGCACTCCTGGGCCTAGTCACCTTCAGGAAGGAGAAAGGTAAGGGGGAAAGGCAGGAGAACAGAGGAAGCCTGGGACATATAAAAAGGGCAGAACACCTGGGATACCAGGACACCAGCTATGGCCCCTTCTGCCTCCCAGGAGAAGTCTATGTGACCTATTTTAAATAAACCCTGCTTTCTATGCTTGCTTTCCTAATGTTCAGACTTCAACATGTGAGGGAGCAGAACCCCGATAACCAGCAGCATCACATGTATATCTGTGAAACATGTAGATTAGTCTTCTGAAGTTTTCTCTTGGATATCTCTTCTTATGGCATCTGTTCTAACTAAGAATTTAAGAGTTAAGGAAAACATTATGTTTTCTTCCCTAAAAAAACAGAGAGAGAGCAAAAGCCTATAAGAGTTAGTGTTGGGTTGAGTTTAAATCCTACTGATAGTACTTCTGCTTACCAGCTTTATGGCCACAGGCAAATTGGCTGGCCCTGGTAAGACACTAGATTTATAAAGATTGCACATCACAATGACTTTAAGGACCAGGTAAGCCTTCATTGTATAGGGACAGGGGTGAGTGGAAGAAAAGTGGTGCAGGACTCATCAAACACATACCTGGGATAAGAAGTGGCTTTATTGTCAGGAGCCTGACAAACGGGCTCTGCACAAAGAGAGGGACAGCAGCAGTGACTCTCCTTTGAATGTTACCTTTTATCCTTTTATAGGCAGGAACCACAGCGGGGGCGGGGGGGGGGGCAAGGGGCGACTTTAGTCTTGATTGACATAGTAAGAATCTCCTGATCTTGTGGAAGGCAAGTTTGTTTCTTGAGAACAGAGACAAGCAGTTTTCCTATCGCTCAGAGGAGGAACACGAAAACGGGCAGGTCTCTTTATCTTAAGGAGAGAACAGGGAACCAGTATGTTCCCATCTCAGGGGCTGGTAACTTGTCTCCTATCTCTCAATGAGAGAACAGGGAGAGACTGGCACCTCTCCAGGCCGGTAGGTTTTGTCTTGGGCTAGTTTCTATTTCTTGGGAATAAGAACAGTGTTCATAAAGTGGGGTTGGGGGAAAGGAAGGTGGCTGCAATTATGCTAACAGTGAGCAATCCAGCTCTGTTTCCCTGGGTCTCAGTAACTAAAAGATCTGGTTGAATCCAAGGTGGATAGATCCCTGTTTATCACCTATAATTTCTGTGTAGCTCTCTGTTTGCTCAGTCTATTTGCTTGATACCAGTGTTGACAGCTTCCTTTTACATTGTCCAAGATGGTCAAGAATTCATGATTTAACCAGTCTAAAGTTCTGTAATTTAGTGCCTACTGGAGGATTTCATAAGGAACATTTTGTTTAATCTGCATAGTATCTCTATGGGTTGGAGGTCATTAGACTAATTGCAAGGATGAAGAAAGAGGCATGTTGGGCTCAAGGGCCTCATACAGAACTCATTTGGATAATTAAGTCCTGGCCTTTATTTCAAGGCTAAGAAAGATGGACATTATGTTCTGCATATTTTTATTTTCCTTAATTAATCCATGCACTCAACAAAGACTTGGTATACCACTGAGCCATTGTAAGGGATCTGACTGTTTTTGCTGTAGATGAGATGCAGGGCACTGAGAGGAGTGGAGCTCAAGAGTCTCTATTTGTCTCTCATTTAAGCAGCTGCATTATTTTTAGTCACAATTGTGTCCAGTGTGAAAAGTAGGACTTAGTTTTCTTTCATTTTGTGTTTCTCAGATCTTGAAAATACCCCTAGACAGCGAAATGTTTTGAGTACTGACTCTGTGCTCTGCATTGTTCTAGGTGCTAGAGATATGAACATGGGTGATGTCCCCTCTGTGTGGGGTATTCTCAGTATTGTGGGCGACAGAAAGTATTCTTTCCCAGAAAAAAAATGTGTGTGTGTGTGTGTGTGTGTGTGTGAGTGTTAGTAGAAAAAAAAAAAGATGAAGAATGCATACAAAAGAACAGCCCACTGGGAAAAATGCAGAGAAAAGGCCACACTAACAACAAAGGAGGATAGGAAATGAGGCCCACTGTGGAACAATGAGGAAGAAGGAGATTAACAGCTAGTGAGCCCATATGTCTGAAGGTTTACAGAGTTTACGTGGAATTGAGGACCAAGAGTTAGTGTCATATGTCTGTCATTTTAAGTATTATATCTTGCTCTAAATTCCTTTCCAGATTTCCAAAAACCTTGTTTTCTACAATCTGTATGACAAAAGCTCTGTTCTTTCTTGATAGTAGTAGTAAGAGCTGTGAAATAGAAGTTAAGAGTCTGTTGGGCCCAACTCTAAATGAGCTTGTACAAGTCAAATCATCACTATGAACATTACTGTATTATCTTACTTAGCAAATGAAGAAACACAGTATGATTCTGCATGCGTAAGGCCACCTAGATGGAAAATGATGACATGCATTTCAACTTGGGCAGCCGACTTTAAAACTCTGCGATTTTAAGTATGTTCCATTGCTTTCCTATAGTTGTATTCATTATTAGTTTCCTGATGGGACAATGTTTCATGTTGTAGATAACGGGGACCAAATCTGGTTCACCTTTGTGGTATGACTGAGTGATAGATGTAGTTGAGTGAGGTGGGCAATTCAGAAGGATAACTTTGAGGGACATGGAAGAGTATCTTAAAATGAGAGAGCTGAGTGTTTAGAGCCATAAGCAAGGCTGCATATTATGGGGGGGATCGTCAGTGTGGTCAGGGTTCTCTGGAGGAACAGAACTGATAGGAAACTCCCCCTACTCCCTAGATTTATTAGAGTGGCTCACACTATCAGAGGCTGGATAGTCTCATAATTGCTGTCTATAGGCCAAAAATTGTGGAAACCAGTAGCTGCTCCATCCAAGAAGCTGGAGCCTTAGAACAAGAGGGACAAAAGATGCAGCCCCAGTCTGAGGCTAAATACTTGGAAACTCCCTAGAGAATTGCTGAGGCAGTCCATGTGAAAGGTGGAAGAAGCTGCAGTTGGGTGACCTCAGGCAATGGCGGCTGCAAGCCAAAACCTGCCTACAGGTGCTGACGGGCTTCCTCCTCCTTCCATATGTTCCATCTGGGCCCCCAGAGTATTGGATGGTACTGCCCTTAGTTTGCTGTTCCACATACCAAAGGTGTCTGGAAACCCTCATAGACAGACACAGAAGTGCTTCACTAATTTCCTAGGCATCTTTCAGTCCAGTTAGGTTGGTAATCAAGATTGGCCATAACAAGTCCAACTATTGTCACCTGCATATAACCAAAACTACATTAATTCCTTCCACAGAGTAGAGGGAAAATTCTTTTTTTTTTTTTTTTTTTTTGAGTGATTACACTTTTCTTGACATCCAATAACTTATAGAATAAAGTACATTTAATGACACAGAAGTACTGACAATATGTGGGATGTGGCTCAAATGGTAACGTGCTTGCCTGGCATGAGCGGGGCTCGGTTTGATCCTCAGCACCACATAAAAATAAAATAAAGATGTTGTGTCCACCAAAAACTAAAAAATAAATATTAAAAAATTCTCTCTCTCTCCTCTCTCTCTCTCTCTCTCAAAAAAAAAAAAAAATAAATAAATATCATGTTACATGACAAAAGAATAAGAAAGAAAAGAACTCAAAGATATCTGTTCAATATATTTGTAGATATGCACAAACAGGCTAACAAAATAGGAGATCCTCTTTATAATATCATTTGTTTAGCTGGTCATGTTGTAGCTGTTATTTGTAGTCACCTTATTTGCTACCCATTCTACCTTCAGCAAGCACTACAGCAGGTCTTGGATCTTTACCTAGAGTGAGTGGTGACCCACAGCTACATTCCTGAAGGGCCTGGGCCATTTCTCAGTCTGACTGAATTGGGTTGTTGTAGTTTCCCTTCGACCTTAGTAATAGGATATGGTAATACCAAGAGACGTCCTAAAGGATCCCTGGCATTCAAGGCATACTCTTCTTTACCTCAATTGTTGGAATAAAAGTCCAGTTTCCCCATGGTAATCTGTATCAGTCACCCCTGCCAACACCATAACTCTGTTCTTAGCCTGTTGCTCAGGAAGTATTACTTTCAGGTTGATGGGATATCTCTGTTGTGCCTCTTGCTAGAAGCATTCCCCCTTCTGGAGCTAAGACTACTAAGCCAGCAGAGCACAAGGATATAAGGACAGGAAGCAAACATTGCTTAAGGGTCATAGTGAGTGGTACCATTCTGGTTTCTATCCCTTAATCCCTGAATCTCTGAATCCTAGAGAAACAGTACCATATAGAGTGGATACTGATTTAGAGCAGATGTAGTCTTCTGGAGAACCCTGCCCCAGCCCTGCAAGGTATGGCTGTGTGTCTTCCAAAGGCCATTCCACTGTTCTGTCAAACCAGTTGTTCAGAATGATGAAGAACATGGAGAGTCCAGTGCCATACTTCTTTGTGAAGTGAGTTCCTTGGTCAGAAGCAAGGTTGAACATCTCCACAGTGGATAAGGCATTCTGTAAGTCCACAGATGATAGTGTTTGCAGAAAAAGCGAATCCATACTCAGCCTAAGTACCTATCCCAGTGCTGCTCCTCCTCTTATGGAAGTGGTTCAATGAAATCAACCTGCTTACTAGGTCACTGGCTAATCACCCATGGGAGTGATCTCATAATAGGGGCTTAGTGTTGGTCTCTGCTGCTAGCAAGTAGTGGCCATGGCCAGGTCAGCCTTGATGAATGGAAGTCCATGTGGCTGAACCCACCATGCATAACCTCCATCCCTGCCACCATGGCCAATGTGTTCAAGAGTCCATTGGGCAATGACAGGGAAAGAGGTTGACTGCTATACAGGCTGAGTCATCCTATCCACTTGATTATTAGTCTTCCTCTGCTGACGTCATCTGTGGTGAACACTTACAAGGGACACAAAAGTCTTCACATCCTTCCCTCACATGAAAGAGATTTATCCATGTATCTCATCCCCAAATGACTTTGTCACTCGTTTTCCAATCATGTTATTTCCAGTCCCTAACTGCTGTCTACAACCGATCAGTATATGGTTGCACATCTTGCCATTTTTCTTTCCAAGCAAAATGTACAACCAGGTGCCTTTTTCTTACAAGTCTCACAGTCTTCTCATTCATATTAAAAATAGATTTGAGTTTTGTCTACATCTCACAAACTTCTTGCTTACCCACTTACACTTTTTAGAACTTTCCTATTTAGTATAAATTGCTTCATAAGTGTTTCATCCATCCCATTTCTTGTAGTGCAGGTCCTCCATGGAAGAACTCAAAAGCAGAATACATCTGAGAATTCAATAATAAAAGATAAACTCCTTTTTTTTTTTTTTAAATAAATGTGGTTCTTTTCACTTTTACATGACAGTAGAATGCATCTTGACATAATTATATATAAGCATGGGATATATGCTCCTTACATAGGAGATGACTTCCCTGAGGATACCATAGTTCTAATTCCAGGCAGGCCTGAGTTAGACAATTTTACAAGAGAGAAATAGACCTTTTATTGATTACTATTTATTTTACATCATCATTTCCATGGATATCTGATACTTAATACAGGTGAACAGTAAAACAAAAACCAATTTCTTTAAAAAATACTTAAGATGAATAATGTACAATATTAGTTGTCAACATATTACTTTCTATACAATGTAAGGCACTGAACTAAGGACATCTATGAAATTCCTTCTACCAGTGATCAAACATGGCCATGTCACAGTATACATGGGTGGCCCTCAACTGTAGTCTTGGGGACTTGAACTCTTGAGGGTGCATGATGCTTGCTCACTCTAAAGTCTTGCTGGCTCATTCTTCCCTTGTCTCTTGCTCAGTTGTCACTCTAGAATTACTTTGACTTGAAATCTTTTTTTTTTTTTTTTGTAGATGGACACATTGGTGCTAGAGATGGATCACAGTGCCTCATGCATTCTAGGCAAGCACTCTACCACTGAGCCACAACCCCAGCACCTCGACTTGAAATTTTTTGATATTATGACTTTGTCTTCTGACAAATTTAACACCATAAAAAGCCAGTATTTTTTCTTTGAAGTGACTTCAGACTGATGTTTTCCACTTTTTGAGTTTATTATTTATTTTAGACCACAATCCTTGTAAAAATTGGGGCTAAAACAGCCTTTGCTCTATGGCCACATTCATTTCTTGGGCATTTACCAAAACAAAGTCCTACAATTGTAAACATGCATGTTTGGGGAGTCATTCTCAGGTTAAAGACAAAAGAAACTTCACCAAGTTAGGATAGAAGGAATGCTAATTATTAGATCCCAATCCCACCTGGGCTACACACTAACACTGTGCACTTTTTACTTTTAGGACCTGAAAACTCCACCCTCATCATCATGCTAACCCCGTTTTCTGAAAATGTAACTCTAAAATCCATGAAGGCCCATTTCACCAACACAGAACAAACATTCACCTTTATTAACTCCAAGCAACCATATTTCTTTACTCCGTAAATATCCTAAAATTCCTCTGGGAAGGAATACATTTAAGGTGTGGGTACCCTACCAGACAAGGATTCCTTGCTAACTTACCTTTAGGTTGCAAACTTTGATTCATTGAAATTTGATGAAGAGCAACAGGCCTAATTAAGTGATAGGGCACACCTTGAGCTCACTGCTCTTCCAATGGTGAAACAAATTTGAACACATCCAACCTAACAATTCCTTGTAGACTGCAATAGCAGTAAAGTATTACAGCTCTCGTTTGAGATTTGGGTGGCTCTGAAAAGAGCCTTTGGATTTGACAATGTCTCTAGGAGACCTTACTTGGAGCTGGTGTACTTGGTGACCGCCTTGGTGCCCTCCGACACAGCGTGCTTGGCCAGCTCCCCGGGCAGCAGCAGGCGCACAGCCGTCTGGATCTCCCGGGACGTGATGGTCGAGCGCTTGTTGTAGTGCGCCAGGCGCGAGGCCTCGCCCGCGATGCGCTCGAAGATGTCGTTCACGAAGGAGTTCATGATGCCCATGGCCTTGGACGAGATGCCGGTGTCGGGGTGCACCTGCTTGAGCACCTTGTACACGTACACCGAGTAGCTCTCCTTGCGGCTGCGCTTGCGCTTCTTGCCGTCCTTCTTCTGCGCCTTGGTCACCGCCTTCTTGGAGCCCTTCTTCGGGGCGGGAGCGGACTTGGCGGGCTCAGGCATGGCGAGAAGAAACGGGGAAACTAGAGAATAATGAGTACTTACCGCCAGGGCGCATTTTTGTAGGTGGTGTATGCAAATTGGGTATAATATCTCACCATTCCTGATTGGACCAAATCAGCCAATAGAAGGTTTTATGCAAATAAGGGAAATCCAAATACACTTTCTGATTGGCTTTCTTTGTGAAACCTATTCTAAATTATTTTATTGTTTACCAGTAAAGTTTTTGTTTTCAAAATACCTAAAAACCGAAAATATATGCAGTGGTACGTAGTGGGAAGCTCTGCCTTCCTAGATCGAGGTCTGAACATGCATAAAAGGCAGACAGTCTATACCGATGATTCTTGTATAAAGTGATCAAAGTTGGCAGCAATCTTAAAGGTTTTTCAAAAAATAAAGGGTCCATACGTTTCAATACTGGTGTGATTTTAATGTTCCCTAACAGTTTCTGGAAGCGATGCCAGTGTTGGAAGGCTGAGAAGTGTGAAATAGAATGCTTGTAATGAATGATAAGATGTGACTGTAAAGTCTGAAGTTTTAATAAAAGACAAAGAACACAACAGGTGGATCAGACAGGTTCAAATGCGGACTTGTTTAAACCTCTCGGGATCTACAGAACGTTCATTTCCGGGTCTTCCCACTAATTCCCAAAGGAGGGTTAAAACTCGCAGGCACCTAATACAGAAAGCCACCAAACATAATAAAGAATAGAAAAGACCCTAGCGCTAATTGAATACTTTTCAAAAGGTTGACGTTTTCTAACGCGAGACTCCGTAGCCAATCACAAGTCTGATCGAGTTACTTAATTCTTGGCGCGTAATTTGAAGAATCGGACCAATCAGGAGGACGTTACCATTATAAATAAGAGGAACAACAATTTTGTGTCCAGTTGGTATTTCCGTCCACCATGGCCCGTACTAAGCAGACGGCCCGTAAGTCCACCGGCGGCAAAGCGCCGCGCAAGCAGCTGGCCACCAAGGCCGCCCGCAAGAGCGCCCCGGCCACCGGCGGCGTCAAGAAGCCTCACCGCTACCGGCCCGGCACCGTGGCGCTGCGCGAGATCCGCCGCTACCAGAAGTCCACCGAGCTGCTGATCCGCAAGCTGCCGTTCCAGCGCCTGGTGCGCGAGATCGCGCAGGACTTCAAGACCGACCTGCGTTTCCAGAGCTCGGCCGTCATGGCGCTGCAAGAGGCCAGCGAGGCCTACCTGGTGGGTCTGTTCGAGGACACCAACCTGTGCGCCATCCACGCCAAGCGCGTCACCATCATGCCCAAGGACATCCAGCTGGCGCGCCGCATCCGCGGGGAAAGGGCGTAAAGCCTTTTTTTTTTTTTTTTTCCTTTTACGAGTGTTCGAAAACCAAAGGCTCTTTTAAGAGCCACTTTTCAGTTTCACTTTAAGGAGCTGCTCTTCATTGCTAATCTTAACCTGGTTGTGATCATTTGAGGGAGTTCTTAGCTGCAGTGCACTCCGCGCCCCCTACCCTCCCTGCCGAACGACCTGCCTGGGTTCCTAGTTGCACGGTGTGCTGCGAGGAAGTCTTGCTTTAGCTTTTTGAATTTTACTTATCCTCCCCTTTCCTTTCTTTCAGCTGCTTGCTAAGTGAAAGCTCAGGCAGCAGTGGGCTGTAAACCTGCGTTTTGCTATTGTAGGTGGTTCCTTTGCAGAGTATGTTGATGGGAGCCATTCCAGCTCCAAGATGCTGGTAAGGACCATGTGTGTCATTGCCTTGTTCTAGTTCCATACTCAGAAGTTAGCCAAAGGAACAGGATATGGAAATAGACATTTCAGCAATTCTGGCAAAGATTAGAAAGATCATCAGTGTTAACATACGAGGGTCAGTAGGTAGTAATGCCAGAGACTGGGAACAGATAAATCCAGAAACATCCAGAAAAACAGACCTGTCAGTTGTCTGAGTAAAAAGGGTCTCCTGCACATTGAGAAACTCAGAATTAACTTTATGCTGTGATATGTATGTCATCTAGGTGTGACATGACCCAAGAGTGTTCTGTCTACTGCTACCATCCATGAAAGATTTATAGGTTAGCTTATGATCTTGCAAGTAGGGTAGGATTCCAGACTCTTCCCAGACCCTCACAGTCAGAAAAAATGGCAGAAAGGGACCTGCATTTTATTCCAGGCCAAACTTCACTTGCTGCCTGCCCCTTATTGTTGACATTATCAGGCCCAGAGTGAGTATTATGCTTTCAGTCTCAGATTCTCTTGTGTTTTAGTCCTGTGTAGTTGTTCAGACTCTTAGGAAACAGTCACCCATACACTGAAGAATTTATGAAGAAGAATACTAATGTGTTGATAATAAAATGGATGCATATCTGGAATTGTGGACTCAGAGCTGAGGATTTCAGAGAACTTGACCAGAATTACAGAGAAAGATTGAGGGACTTGTTTTAGTTCATCTTGCCTCTTAGGAATGAAGTTCAGATGTTCTGAGAAAAGGCTGGGTTCATTCTACTTAATGTCTGCTTAGCAGGTAACTATATCTTTGTGCACAGATTGTGGTTAAGTCCAACAAGACTCAGGATTTAAGATGTATGTTCCTCCAGATCTCATGGTTTTGCTTTTAACTGTTACACTAATATATGGACACTCTTGGTCAAATACTGGCATTGTAGTAGGAGAGATTTAGAGGAAAAGATTGGGTTTCCTTTGGGGAAATTTCCCCTATTTTTATTTACATTCATAGGTCCTTATTTTCCACTTTGTGTTAGTACTCTCTTTGGCACTGGTGTTGCAGTGACAAGCTGAAAGGGGCCTTGTCACAAAGAGTTTTTGTTCTCATGAAAGAAGACAGAAGATAGAAAATAGATGCATCGACTTGGTAATTTGGTTGGTAAACAATGGTATGAAGAAATACACAATATGACACAGAGGGTGTCACACTCAATACCTGGGGAGTGGGCTGTCATATTATACAGGGAAGGAGGAGCTGGTATTTAATTATTGGATTTGAGGTAAGGTAGGGAGCCAGGACAAGGATTTTCCAGTACATAGGATGGACAAAAGGAAGTTGAGATGAGAAAATATGTTTTTCTTTCAGGAGCAAAAGGCAGCCAGTACAGCTCCTTCTTATATTTCCAAAATGCATAAAAATCTGTGCTTACTATGTCACATCTCCTGATTGACCCTGCAGCCATTCTCTACTAGGACCTTTATGATTATACTGGCCTACTCAGGCAATAGAGAATCATCAACTACGCTTCAGGGTCTTAATTTAATCACACCCCAAAAGTCTCTTCTAACATAACAGGGAAACATTTTCACTTCTGAGGATTAGGGCATGAGCATCTTTGGAGAGGAAAAGCCATTATTCTGCCTACAACAACTATTATGGGGCATAAAGCGTTTTATTATTAAGAGTCCCTTAAATATACAATCCTCTACCAGAAATCAGTTAAAACTTCTTTCTTCCCCAAAAGCTCTATATCCTTTGTTGTAGGCAGACTCTGGTTATCTTGATATTTAAAGGAAGTAGTGTTCTTGGGAAAGCCATAGATTCATGCCTGAAGATACATCCAGAAGTAAAATCCAAAAGGGTGCTGCAGAAGGGGCCTGCTGCTGGTGTGTCACACTTCACCACTTGGAAGCCAACACTGCCATCACTACCCCAGGTTGGCTTTTCTCCCAGAAGCAGAGGCTCCAAGAAGTCTTTTAGAAGTGTGACTGATTAGTGGAACCTTTGCCACATATCAACATTTTATCAGCACTGATAATTGGAGTTCTAAAAAGGTTATTGAGATCAATTCCCTAACCTGGGAGTTTCACAAATTTATATTGAAGATATATGGACTGACATTGTTCAAATATCTGTCCTCCAAATACTAGAAAAGGAACAAATAAAAGTGCATGCACTTAAAATTTAATTATCTGAAAAAAAATTGCATTTATGAGATGCCTGATGATTTCTATTTATTCCATTTGTTTTAAATGCAGGATGAGACCCATTAAATAGTTTACATTACCCATGAGCTGTTCACAATCTGCATTTAAAGATATCCGCAATACATGGTTGAGAGTCTAAAACTTGACACATGAGTAAAGAAAAATGGTAGAGAAGAAACTGCTAGGGGAAGAGAGTCATTGTTCAAGGAAAGTAATCTGTGAAAAGTTTATTAGTGGCCCAAATGCTAAACTTCATTGATTCATTCATTCAGTCATTGCCTTGCCATTTATAAAATGAATAGAATGTGCCACATAATTTTTGTAGGTCCTGAGGACAGCAAAATGAAGACATTGTTTAAGACCTCCCTCAAGAAATCTTGAGACAAAAGGAACGTTAATTATCAAATATTGTTAGTGTGCAATGCCTCTAGTCCTAAAGTGAACTGTGAAGTTTGGTAGGAACATATATGTAGTGCAGTTTGTAGAGTATAAGAAAATCTTGGGGAGTGGGAGAACCAGGCAAAGGAAAGGTCTCCTAAAGGAAAACTTGAAAAACTCCCGAGTTATTTGTGGAAGAAAAAATGGTACATAAAAGATTCATTTTGATAAGTATTCCAGTTGCAGAAACGATGGTTAGGGATGAGGATGTGGAGGAAAGCAGATGCTAGATAAAGCAGAGTTACTAGTTTTCTACAAATATTAGAACTGGTTAATCTTATTTTTGCACAGATGAGTTTATAAATTGCACAAGCTTCCGACTGCAAGGTGGTTAAAATGCAGGTGCGATCTATACAGACCCTGATCACTACAGGGCAGACAGGGCTGCAAGGTTGCATGCATCTCCATTTACTAAAGAACACTCTGAAAGAGATGGGAGCTACAAAGTAATGATACAACTTCAGTTCACTGTAAAAACTAGAAGACCAAGCAGAATTTGAAGAAAAAGGACTTGCAAAATTAAAGCTAAAGAGCGGCTAAACCCTGGCAGATTAGGCAGTCCCCTCAAAGGCAGCAACTAACTGCACTATTTATGACGTAAAACTCAGTGCCAAAGTGAACATAAAAGCCCAACCTGCACTTATAAGCGCCACTTCTAACCGAACTTGTCCTTGGCGTCCTATAAAACTCTCATTTGTGGCAGCCTTTCATGACAATGTGGGTGGCCCTGAGAAGGGCCTTTTGTGAGGTTAGGTAGCCAGTATACAATAAAAGATTAACCGCCGAAGCCGTAGAGGGTGCGGCCCTGGCGCTTGAGCGCGTAGACCACGTCCATGGCCGTGACCGTCTTGCGCTTGGCGTGCTCCGTGTAGGTGACGGCGTCGCGGATCACGTTCTCCAGGAACACCTTGAGCACGCCGCGGGTCTCCTCGTAGATGAGCCCGGAGATGCGCTTGACGCCGCCACGGCGGGCCAGGCGGCGGATGGCGGGCTTGGTGATGCCCTGGATGTTGTCGCGCAGGACTTTACGATGGCGCTTGGCGCCGCCTTTGCCTAGGCCTTTGCCTCCTTTTCCGCGGCCAGACATGTTTGCAATAGCTAGTTCCTGCAGTTGTGGTGCTAGGCGCCCCCTGCAGCAACATATGAAGCACCAGTGCGGACCTTTTTGGAAACTGAAAGAGCGCGGGCGGGAACACTGGCCTCTGTCCCCGCCTCTTTTCTGGTTTGCCACAGTATGGCCTTTGGAGCAAGGAAATGGATATTGAGTGGAGGGGAAAGGCAGCTTTGTGCTCTTGTTTCTGTGAGTCAGGTCGCGAGTCCTCCAGGATGATTAGTGCATGTCCAGGTCCTCTCTCACAACTGATGTGCAAGTCCAGACTTATGATTTGGAAAGAGGAGCCTCTAGTGCTACCCTTGAGTACAAGAACGAGAGTTGCCAGAACAAAATAAATTTTAAATTGAAAGTTTCTTTAAAAAAACGAAGTCACTAGTTTAAAAAAAAATTTGAGGGTGCTAGGGATTGAATTCAGGGATGCTGTACGTCTGCGTTACATTCACATCCCTTTTCATTTTTATTTTTTATTTTGAACTGTTCTCACCAAGTGACCCAAGCTGGCCTCAAATGTGCAATACTCAAATCTTAGCCGCCCATGAAGCTGGGATTACAAGTGTGCGCCACTGTGCCTGGCTAGTATTTTAAATTTTTATGCTCTACCAATAGTCATGATTAAATTTGATCACTCATGAAATGTTACATTTAGCTGAGTTCTATACCACTACATGAGGTATATACACCTACTACTTATAAGTAGCTCTAGTAAGGGGAGCCAGTGTCAATTGCATTTCCATTCTTTACCACTTTGTAAAGGGATGTCAGTATTATAAAGATGAAAGCTCCCAGGCTTGGAGATCTGATCCTCTTTGACTAAGTGGTAATGCGGTGTCTGATTCTTGAATCTCCTGACCTTCCCACTTTCTATACTAGGAGACACATTTACTAGCATGTCATAATGAATGGCACTTGCAAATTCATGTTTAA